TTCAGCTATAAGATGGCACCCTGTAAATAATAAAGTTTTCCCATTTCACCTCACCTCACCTCACCTCACCTCACCTCACCTCACCTCACCTCACCTCACCTCACCTCACCTCACCTCACCTCACCTCACCTCACCTCACCTCACCTGAACCCTAAGGGAGCGATGGGGTAGCCTAGTGGTTAAAGCACTGGCTTGTCACGCCAAAGACTCATGTTTGATTCCCCACATAGGTACAGCTATGATATTGCTAGAAGTGATGGAGAACCATACTCACTCACTTGGTGAAGATTCATAAAGTATTATACTGGTATGATCATCTATGCTTTTATTAATCCAACTGAAAGCACATTATTCGGGTATTCCGTAACCATGGAAACAGGTCCAACCTATCAGACAGGATCATGAACCAACAGGTCGTGGCACTTTGTGATAATTATTCATGCATTCAGTGACTGATGACTTACTTCAACCTTCTCTATGACGTTTGCTATGATAATGGTGAAAAAACTCACTCACTCACTCACTCACTCACTCACTCAATCACTCAGGGCCCTCCGGTTAATGGGGGTTAAGGCCACATTTTTTAAAATTTATGTTTCTTGGATTTATTCCAGCTTTTCCACACAAGGTCGGTGGAAAGGAAAATAAAATTAAATAGCTATGTCAATCTTATATGAAAGTCATTCTGCTGTGGAGTTAAAACTGCAGCTGGCTTCTTAAATCACTGATAGTGATGTAGACATAACATATTTTATTGTATAAGTGGGTCTATTATACTTGCGGAAGGCATAATAAAAATCAATATTATTATGCCTAATTTATTTCTTGGATCGTCTGCTTTTCAATGGGGGTGGCAGGCCCGTGGAATGAAAAATAAAAAAATGTGTGGCCTAATTTAAGGTGTTGGGTCGTAGCAACTATAAATCTGGTGTACAATGTGTAAAGCCCACATACCATGCATACAGCTGCAATATTGAAATAACACTGAAACAAAGTCTATCCACACACTCACAGCTTAATTCACACATCAGCATTCATCACTAACCGCATTAGATGTATATTGTATAATTTGAAATATCTGCACTAATTACTGGCTTTTCAAGCAAGTCAAACTCTCTCCCATGTTGAAGACGGTGCTCACCCCATATGCGGGTGATATGGTGCATAACAGCCTTCAGCTAATACCTGGGGCTTTATTTCCCCATATCGCCCACCTCCGACAGGGCACTAACCTATACAAGTACAATGAATGGCAATAACCAGTACCTTGTGGGTTCTGCTTTGTCAGGATTTTTTAGATATGGAGTCTAAGAGAAACATTTGAGGATAAGACCACCTTCCTATTGCATGTGGTTTCAAATTGTTTCAAAGTCAGTTGTCCTTGAGCCTGCGACTGAGCCTGAGCCAGAGAGAAGGGGAGAGATTTTGTTTATTTATATGGTAAATAATATCAGATACCGTATTCGACGTAATAAGCGCCCTCAAAATTAGAAAAAGGAACTCTTATTAGAATATTACTTTGGTGAAAAAAACACAGTTGAAAGATCGTAGATTTTGTGATTTATGCTGACAGCCTGAAATGTTTATATACAACCGATATATTTTTCCAGGATTTAATTGCCCATAATTAAGTGTGCATATAACACACGAGTGGGTATTATACACGAATAAATAAGTCTTGTGTACATTGATCAATCGGAAGGGGTGCTAATTGAGATTGTTCTCTAGCCAATATATTAGCAAATATCGCCGTGGGCGCTTATTAGAGTGGGGCGCATATTAGGTCGAATACGGTATCTATTTTTCCCCTTTTTTTTAGATGTAGAGAGATGAGAACAATATGATCAATATTCAGACTCGTGAATGATTAAAAATGATTTGTTTAGGTTATGCACATGAAGTTCGTAAGCTTGCAGCCTTTGGAGAATGAAACAAATGAGTTATCTGTAGTTCAAGACAAGCCGAGTGTTGACATGAGGCCATATCTGCAAAGTTTCTGCAGGAATAGAATCTTGCATTGACAAGATCTCACTGTTGGTCAGTTAAACGCTTTGAAGAAAATCTGTTGTGAAAGAAACATGCTTTCCACAGCGTATGAATGCACTGCAGTTTCTATGTGTTTGTTTGTGACTAGGGATGGGTATTGAAGGTTGAAAGTGTATCACAGTGTTTTGCGATGCACAGGGTCGTATTGTGATACGTATCACAATATATTGTATAATTCTAAATTTTTAATTCACAAGCAATCTGATACAATAAGGTTTGAACTGAAGTTCATAAATGGAACAAAACAAGATGCTGGTACACCATGTTTACTCATTCAATGCATACGCAGCCATCTTGGGGCCCCGGGTTTAACTCCACAGTAGAATGACTTTCATATCAATAGATAAATGATAGACACAGCTATTTATTTTTATTAATATTTCGACCGACCTTGTAATATATCCGTGAAACATAAAATTAATAAAGTGCGGCCTAATTATGTCACCAAAGATGTTGTTCATACAAGGTGCAGTGTTGCACCAGAAACCAACAATTGTGGGTTCAAATCCCGGATTCACTCTGATTATGTTTCTAGGTTTGTCAGCACCATGCTCAGGCTCATGGGTGGCTAAGGCCTGTGTCCCTCCCACATCAAGTTGAAAATGTTGTGATATAACTGAAATACTGTTCTCAGCAGTGTTAAACCCAACTCACTCATGATTTGCTTGAACTGCATGTGTAGAATGCAGTCATTTAAGGTAATATCTTGAGGTACATTAAGCCTAATATTAGTGTAGTCATGTTATTAAATGGCGATATATCATTGAAAAAGGGCCTCCTGCTGTGCTAATGGAAACAGTTGGCAGTTGGATCTCTGAGGAGACGCATTCTGATGATCAGCTAGTCTAGTGAATGGTTGACACAACATATGTGCAAGGTCAAAGAGTAGAGGTCAGCTTTGTGAACACGTGTTGACTTAGTCAAGCTTAATCTGATCTCGCAGGGAGGGAAGCTTGGCTGTAGGAGATTATGTTAAGTGAATGATATAGACACACAATAGTACTGCTTGGTTAACAGTTTAAGGGGTCAGTGGCTGGACTTAAAATTGTAAGTTAGCTCGGTCTTAAAATCATCCATCGAAACAAATATAGCAGTTATTGACGTGTAGTGACCATAGTTATTTTCAGTTATAGTGCATGCAGCTACAGTGGTCTTGAGTCCGCAGATAGTGTACACTTTCAAACAACCCAAGCCTTGTATTGTGTTTAAAGCCTTTACTTGTCGATGCAGGTATGTGACACTCCAAGCATCACTTTTGTGGTGATGATGACTATATTTATTAACAAATTATAACATTACAGTTACAGACAGATGCCTTTTTGTGTGGAAGTTAAAACCAGATTTACACCATACCATTCACTGTGCAGAGTTGCATCCCTTGGGCGTGCCAGAAACCTATGATTGTGGGTTCGAATCCCAGTTCGCCCTGATTATGTTTCTAGGTTTGTCAGCACCATACCCGTGCTTGTGGGTTTCATCGAAGTGGTAAATGTCTGAGACCTGCATCACTTCGGGCTTTCCTCCCACATTAAGCTGACACGCCGTGATATAACTGTAATACTGTTAAAAGCGGGGTTAAACCCAACTCACTCACTAACTGTCATGTCATCATATGATTAAATTAAAGCAATATCCTATGGATTGTACATTTCCTTTCCTTAATCAAGTCGAAATTTCAAGTTCTCCCACATTAAGATAATAAATAATGTTCAAAGGGGTGTTGATGTTTGTTTATTTGTTTGTTGTTCGCCCCGATTATGTTTCTAGGTTTGTCAGCACCATACACGTACTCATGGGTTTCACCGAAGTGGTAAACGTCTGAGACCTGCACCTGCATATAACTTTAGTCAACTTCAGTGTATGCATGACCACATTGTTTAATACATGTATATAAATACGTTTTGCGATATTTTGTACCTATCTCTTGAGACCTACAGTGGGTACCCAGGTAGGGTCGGGTAATTGGGGATCGTCAGCTGAGGCAATCTAGACTTACCAAATCGTTCAAGACTTCAGTTGGTCTCCTTTTTTCAACCTTATTGTCTTGGGTCTGGGAGACAGACTAACATTTACCACATCGGTAATAGCGAGTACCAATTTGGTGCTGCCACACCAAGCTCATTTGTAGTCATTGGCATGTAAACATTAGACTAACTCATCGTCTATGGCAATATTGATTTATCAATAAATTGTTCATGTTGATACTGTATCAATAAAAAAAATTATGAATATCAGTACTAAATCAATAACTCACTACTTGTAAAACACTTCCTTTGTTTAAAACGACTGTGGTTAAGATGGACAATAAAAAGGCAGGAAATATGCTCAATTTTAAACTTTTAAAATTTTTAGGATCAGCCTAGTTCATAATTTAGCAATAAGTTGATGAATTTGATAAGGACTATTTATCTATGATTATAATTTCATTAATCAATGTATTGATGTATCATGATACTTTGATTCGATATGTCAGTACCAAACGTTCCAATATGTACACATACTGTATTCGACGTAATAAGCGCCCCGCTCTAATAAGTGCCGACGGCGATATTTGCTAATATATATTATAATATATATAAGTGAACAATCCCAATTAGCACCCCTTCCAATTGATCAATGTACACAAGACTTATATATTCGTGTATAATACGCACGCGTGTGTTATATGCACCCTTAATTATGGTCAATAAAATTCTGGAAAAATATATCTGTCGTATTTATATATGTCGAAATTTATCTTTCAACTCTGTTTTTTCCATCAAAATAATATTCTAATAAGCGCCCCCTGTTTCTAATTTTGAGAGCGCCCTGGGCCCTTATTACGTCAAATACGGTAATCAGATTTGAGTTTATATATGAAAATTCAATGTTACAATAACGTTAATGATAAATTATGCAACATGTGAAAAAATAATCACTAAAATGACATGAACTCATTTGCCTCATTTTTCCAGATGCTACACATTATATGATGTCAAAGTAGTTGCCATGGCAACAGCATCACAAGACAGCATCCCCCGTCACCTGATGACCCCCCCAGGGCTTGTTCTGAAGGACTCCGGGGTGGAGGATGGCACCATAGGTAAGGACAAAATCTACATACATTAATATGAGGGTGACGCTATTTGTCAGGGCATTATCATTTGCAGAAGCCTGAGGTCTTCCATGAACTGCCCGACGAAGGAGGGCAGTTGAAAAGAACGAGGGCTTCTGCAAATGATAATGCCCTGAAAAAGAGCGTTACCGTTATTAAAGCTAAAATGGATGGAATTTGTTATCAAATAAAAAGAAACAACAATACCGGCTTTGAAACATTTACTGCAAGCAACACGAATGTCACTGACCCACTTTTACAAATATGGAAACGTCATAGAACAAACCACATGACGTCACTATAATACGGGATGTCACTTTCTCTACCTTATGACGTTACCTAACAATGGGCGTGACAATGGCCCTTTGTCAAGCAATATGAGGGCATTATCAAGTTACAGTGGCCCGCTCATTTATGATAACGTGCGGGCGGTTTAATGATAATTCTATCCATTTTAGCTATAATTGAAGGGAAGTGAAGCTTGCATGTCAAAAAGCAGGTTTTGGCCCATGTAAATTTTAAGGTTATCTTATCACCCGTCGTTGTTAACTAGCTTGGACTGCCTCCATGGTCTTTTGGATAGATGGAGAGCAGATGGTCATTGGTTCGATCCCCAGCCGCATCATACCAAAAGATGTTTAAAGATGGTATTTGTTGTTGCCCTGCCTGTTACTCGACATTAAGGGGATAAAACAAGGACTGCTTGACTGAGAAACAGTATACTGTGTCTGTGTGGGGTGTACATGTTAAACTGCAGTATGGCATCTCGGAGGGCTCCACTATAAAACAGGCTTTATCTGGACAAGTACAAGCACACACACACACGCAGACACAACGCAGAAACACACACTCGCAGACACACACACAGCTTTAAAAGTGCATTAATCTTGAAGGTGACAAAATGTCACCTGATCTCACGTCTAAGTAGCTTGACCTGGAAATGGTAATGGTCCCCTGATGGCATAACTGTAGCTCATGGTTTTAGTCTGGGTTTGCTTAATCTGTACATGAACACTGACAGGTCACTGTGACATAGCTGCAATATTGCTGACAGAGGCAATAAACAACATTCACACACTTAATTCTCGCGCCTAATTCACACACCTAATTCTCCCACCTGATTCACACACTTAATTCACACACCTAATTCTCCCACCTAATTCTCCCACCTGATTCACACACTTCATTCACACACTTCATTCACACACTTTATTCACACACTTCATTCACACACTTAATTCACACACTTAATTCTCCCACCTGATTCACACACTTTATTCACACACTTCATTCACACACTTTATTCACACACTTCATTCACACACCTAATTCACACACCTAATTCTCCCACCTGATTCACACACTTTATTTACACACTTCATTCACACACTTCATTCACACACTTAATTCCTCCACCTGATTCACACACTTTATTCACACACTTCATTCACACACTTTATTCACACACTTATTTCACACACTTTATTCACACACTTCATTCACACACTTCATTCACACACCTAATTCACACACCTAATTCTCCCACCTGATTCACACACTTTATTCACACACTTCATTCACACACTTTATTCACACACTTATTTCACACACTTTATTCACACACTTCATTCACACACCTAATTCCCACACCTAATTCTCCCACCTGATTCACACACTTTATTCACACACTTCATTCACGCACTTAATTCACACACCTAATTCTCACACCTAATTCTCCCACCTGATTCACACACTTTATTCACACACTTCATTCACACACTTCATTCACACACTTCATTCACACACTTCATTCACACACCTAATTCTCACACCTGATTCACACACTTTATTCACACACTTCATTCACACACTTCATTCACACACTTCAATCACACACTTCACACACTTCGGCCAGTTGCCTATGGCACCACAATTCATTTAGGGATTTGCCCAAAAGATTCAAGTCAACCTTTGATAAGGATTAAGAGAATATTATTTGCGAGCATGTGTATCATATTGATTTTACGAAATGAGTGTCAGAATTCTTGTATTTCCCGAGCAACAGGGAGGGTAATATATGAATTATTACACGAGTTTAGTAAAATCAGCGAGACACACATGCGAGTGGAATGATTTCTTTATTACTCATTATTTCGTAATCCTTTTGAGATTTTTGTCAGAAAAATGCACTAACCACAACCACCATCTTTGAAAACCAAAATTGTTGAATAATGTCACTAGTCTCAGTGTGATGTGATTCCGACCTGACGTCAAAATAAGATTCAAATGACATCATTAATGCTGTGCAGGTGACGTATACAATACGCTGGTGTGTGTGAAGTGATATTTGAAGTAGTGCACCTACGACTTTTATGGACTTTGTTATTTCTAACACTATGGGGAGTGAAGCAGATATGTCATTCAGTTTATATATACATTTGACATATTATGAGAATCATATTCAGTGTTCCCGTTTACCAGTATTTGCCAGTTTTTTACCGGTAAAATTAGGCTTAGACTGTTAATTCATGTGACTGCCAGTCCCTGTGGACCGGCAAATAAAGTACCTTATAAATCTTTGATATTCATATAAGTATATTTTTCGAACAAAGTCAGCTTGTCTGTTACCATCAGAGTTTCATCTTGTTGATTTTTAGTTTAAGGAAATGACATTTTCTTTGCTTCAAGGTTAAAAATATATTCGTAGTGACTTCATCTTGAAATATCAAAACAAAAGATGAGAAAATTGTGACTGAACTTTGTGTGAATAATGTGTAGATCTAACTCAGTTACTGCAGACATGACATCATTGCATTGAACATGATGTTGAAAGAATTATAACCAGGTAATTTTCATATGTTTTTATTATTTATTGAACATGTTGAAAGTTGGGACTGACAAATGTTAGGGGGAACTGGTAATTTTTAGAGTACCAGTCCAACAGGACTGGCAGTTTCAAGAGCCAGCGGGATATTATGTTTATACACCTCTGTGCTTGACTGCTTGTGGGTGTCACTAAAGTGTCACTTTTGGTTTTCTTGCATATAACCAAACTGATTATCATCTCATTCCCACAACTCGTCACCCCTACTCTTATTCTTTTGTGACTGTTTAAGAGGAAATCCTTCTTTTTTTCATTTTAATTATTATTTTTAACTTCTTTGTCATAAAAATCAAGTAAAAGATTTGTGAAGACTTGAATTTAGTCAGCATTAATGTATATTTTATTAAAAATGCTGCCACATGGTATTTTATGAGGCAGACAATTCATTCTTTAAACAGTTTGAAGCATAATAATTGTTTTCAAGCATTTTCTGGGGAATTATTTTTCTTTCAAAAAATTCCCTGATCCCCCTCCCCAGACTATATCAAATTGTCAGTCAGTCACCCGCTGAATTTTAAGGCAGTCTCTGAAAGGATGTGAACATCCCATTCAACCTCTCACACTAAAGTGTTTACTCTGCAGGTGTGTTTTGCCTGAACCGTGTCCTCGAGGGCCAGGTGTATGGTCCCTATGCAGGGGAGGTAATCCTGGAAGGATGCGACAATAAAGTGGATTATCGCTATGCCTGGGAGGTAGGTCTCGTCTGATCCAATGCTGAAACTTTTTTGAAAATATTTTGTATTTTTGCTTGGATTTCCTATGCTTTCTGAACTTAAGGTCAAATATGAATGAATATATATATATATATATATATATATATATATATATATGTGTACCGTATTCGATGTAATAAGCACCCAGGGTGCTCTCAAAATTAGAAATAGGGGGCTGTTATTAGAATATTATTTTGGTGAAAAAAACAGAGTTAAAAGATCGTAAATTTTGTGGTTTCTGCTGACAGCCTGAAATGTTTATATACGACAGATCTAATTTCCAGAATTTAATGGCCCATAATTAAGGGTGCATATAACATACGAGTGCGTATTATACACAAATAAATAAGTCTTGTGTACATTGATCAATCGGAAGGGGTGCTAATTGGGATTGTTCACTAGCCAATATATTAGCAAATATTGCCGTGGGCGCTTATTAGAATTGGCGCTTAATACATCGAATACGGTATATGATGCAAGTTGACGTTATGGTCAAGATTGTGAAGGGGCACGAGTGTCCGAGTCGTCTAAGGCGCCACAATTCATTGTGCAGAGCTGCATCCCTTGGGTACACCAGACACCAGCTTTCGTCAAGCTTTAAACAGACACGCCGTGATATATCTGGAATACTGTTCCAAGTGGCATTAAGAACCCTACCCACTTACTCAAAGTTGTAAAATGCTAAGGTGTAAGATTGTGTGTGTATGTATTTAGCTGTATGTCACACACTGTCATGTGCTTGTGCTTGTCAAGATCAGACTTGATTGTGTGTTAACCTATCTGACATTAGACACACGCCTCCGTGGTCAGGTGGTAGAGCGTCCGCGCGGAGAGCGGAAGGTCGGGCTTTGATCTTCAGCCACGCCATACCAAAAGACGTTCAAAGATGGTACTTGTTGTTACCCTGCCTGGCACTCAGCATTAAGGAGCTAGAACAAGGACTGGTTGGCTCGGAGTCTGTATTCTGTGTCTGAGTAGGGCATCCATGTTAAACTGCGGCATGGTATCTCAGTGGGCTAGCACAATAAAACAGGCATCAGTCCGGACTATAGCCTACTAGTACAAGCAGCCACTTCATAAGTGCAACTATCTTGAATGCGACATTAAACCCCATTTCACCTCACTTTACCTTCTGTATGGTAATAATTATTACATAATAACCTCATTTTTTACCTCGATTTGCAGACAATTAAACAATCTAACTGAGCTTATTATGGAAGGGAGCTCTTGTTTAATAATATGCTCATATAATCAGGGTTTGAAATTAACTTATGTCCACTAAACTGAGACCAGTAAACTTCAGGAAGGACAAGTGACATTCCCTATGATGTCACCACTGTAGGACATCATTTTTTTTTTTTTTTTTTGTTGTTTAACGTCATACTCAGCAATATTCCAGCTGCATGACGGCGGTCTGTAAATAATCAAGTCTGGACCACACCATACAGTGATTGACATCATGAGCATCGATCTAGACAATTGGGATACAATGACATGCATCAACCAAGTCAGCGAGCCTGACCACCCGATCCCGTTTGTTGCCTCTTATGACAAGCATAGACTCGCCTTTTACGGCTGGCATGGGTTGTTGAAGACCTATACTACCATTGAGAGCATATGTTGGAAGGTTGTACTGCAGTCTTTAACAAATAGGATGACAGTATCGCTGATGTTTGCAGTGTGAAGAAAATAAGAGATATGTATATTTCTGCCGTCAGGTGTACGACTCGAACACGAATGAGCTGATGCACATCATAAACGCCACAAAGCCGGAGACGGGAAACTGGATGAGATATGTCAACTGCGCTCGCTACTTCGAGGAGCAGAACATTGTGTCTGTGCAGATTGGCAGTGAAATATTCTACAAGGCTATCAGGGTAAGGCCTTAATCTTCTGTTGTCGTTTGGAAGAACATGGGTGTCACCAAAGGGGTTAATGTTTAATACCTGCAACACTTCAGGGTATCCTCCCATATCAAGCTGACACAAGGGCAGTAAACAACTGCACTCTGTTGTAGTCTGGCTGGAAAGGGGCAGCTTTCAATTTGAAACTGTTGAGAATTCTGCCTGTGCTAATGGCAGTTTAGAATTAAGAATATTGTCTTTCTGAGAGAAAATTTGGCTATTATGTTAACCTGGAATTGGAGAATGTATTTTGTACAAGTTTTCTCACTGTGAAATATTGCCAACGCAGTGTTAACACATCCCATTCCATTGACAATGCAGTGTTAACCCATCTCATTCCATTGACAATGCAGTGTTAACTCATGTCTTTCTGTTGACAAGGCCATGTTAACCCTACTCATTCCATTGACAAGGCCATGTTAACCCATCTCATTCCATTGACAACGCCATGTTAACCCATCTCATTCCATTGACAAGGCCATGTTAACCCATCTCATTCCATTGATAAGGCCATGTTAACCCATCTCATTCCATTGACAAGGCCATGTTAACCCATCTCATTCCATTGACAAGGCCATGTTAACCCATCTCACACTATTGACAACAATGTTAACCCATCTCATTCCATTGACATGGCCATGTTAACCCATCTCATTCCATTGACAACGCCATGTTAACCCATCTCATTCCATTGACAAGGCCATGTTAACCCATCTCATTCCATTGATAAGGCCATGTTAACCCATCTCATTCCATTGACAAGGCCATGTTAACCCATCTCATTCCATTGACAAGGCAATGTTAACCCCTCTCACACTATTGACAACAATGTTTACCCATCTCATTCCATTGACATGGCCATGTTAACCCATCTCATTCCATTGACAAGGCCATGTTAACCCATCTCATTCCATTGACAAGGCCATGTTAACCCATCTCATTCCATTGACAATGCCATGTTAACCCATCTCATTCCATTGACAAGGCCATGCTAACCAATCTCATTCCATTGACGACTGTGTTAACCCATCTCATTCCATTGACAATGCCATGTTAACCCATCTCATTTCATTGACAAAGCCATGTTAACCCTTCTCATTCCATTGACAAGGCCATGTTAACCCATCTCATTCCATTGACAAGGCCATGTTAACCCATCTCATTCCATTGACAAGGCCATGTTAACCCATCTCATTCCATTGACAAGGCCATGTTAACCAATCTCATTCCATTGACAACTGTGTTAACCCATCTCATTCCATTGACAATGCCATGTTAACTCATCTCATTCCATTGACAAAGCCATGTTAACCCATCTCATTCCATTGACAAGGCCATGTTAACCCTTCTCATTCCATTGACAAGGCCATGTTAACCCATATCATTCCATTGACAAAGCCATGTTAACCCATCTCATTCCATTGACAAGGCCATGTTAACCCATGTCATTCCATTGACAAGGCCATGTTAACCCATCTCACTCCATTGACAAGGCCATGTTAACCCATCTCATTCCATTGACAATGCAGTGTTAACCCATCTCATTCCATTGACAAGGCCATGTTAACACCTCTCACACTATTGACAACAATGTTTACCCATCTCATTCCATTGACATGGCCATGTTAACCCATCTCATTCCATTGACAATGCAGTGTTAACCCATCTCATTCCATTGACAATGCAGTGTTAACTCATGTCTTTCTGTTGACAAGGCCATGTTAACCCATCTCATTCCATTGACAAGGCCATGTTAACCCATCTCATTCCATTGACAAGGCCATGTTAACCCATCTCATTCCATTGACAACGCCATGTTAACCCATCTCATTCCATTGACAAGGCCATGTTAACCCATCTCATTCCATTGATAAGGCCATGTTAACCCATCTCATTCCATTGACAAGGCCATGTTAACCCATCTCATTCCATTGACAAGGCCATGTTAACCCATCTCACACTATTGACAACAATGTTAACCCATCTCATTCCATTGACAAGGCCATGTTAACCCATCTCATTCCATTGACAACGCCATGTTAACCCATCTCATTCCATTGACAAGGCCATGTTAACCCATCTCATTCCATTGATAAGGCCATGTTAACCCATCTCATTCCATTGACAAGGCCATGTTAACCCATCTCATTCCATTGACAAGGCAATGTTAACCCCTCTCACACTATTGACAACAATGTTTACCCATCTCATTCCATTGACATGGCCATGTTAACCCATCTCATTCCATTGACAAGGCCATGTTAACCCATCTCATTCCATTGACAAGGCCATGTTAACCCATCTCATTCCATTGACAAGGCCATGTTAACCCATCTCATTCCATTGACAAGGCCATGCTAACCAATCTCATTCCATTGACGACTGTGTTAACCCATCTCATTCCATTGACAATGCCATGTTAACCCATCTCATTTCATTGACAAAGCCATGTTAACCCTTCTCATTCCATTGACAAGGCCATGTTAACCCATCTCATTCCATTGACAAGGCCATGTTAACCCATCTCATTCCATTGACAAGGCCATGTTAACCAATCTCATTCCATTGACAACTGTGTTAACCCATCTCATTCCATTGACAAGGCCATGTTAACCCTTCTCATTCCATTGACAAGGCCATGTTAACCCATATCATTCCATTGACAAGGCCATGTTAACCCATGTCATTCCATTGACAAGGCCATGTTAACCCATCTCACTCCATTGACAAGGCCATGTTAACCCATCTCATTCCATTGACAATGCAGTGTTAACCCATCTCATTCCATTGACAAGGCCATGTTAACCCTTCTCATTCCATTGACAACTGTGTTAACCCATCTCATTCCATTGACAAGTCCATGTTAACCCATCTCATTCCATTGACAAGGCCATGTTAACCAATCTCACACTATTGACAACAGTGTTAACCCATCTCATTCCATTGACAATGCCATGTTAACCCATCTCATTCCATTGACAAGGCCATGTTAACCCATCTCATTCCATTGACAATGCAGTGTTAACCCATCTCATTCCATTGACAAGGCCATGTTAGCCATCTCACTCCATTGACAACGCCATGTTAACCCATCTCATTCCATTGACAAGGCCATGTTAACCCATCTTATTCCATTGACAAGGCCATGTTAACCCATCTCATACTATTGACAACAATGTTAACCCATCTCATTCCATTGACAAGGCCATGTTAACCCATCTCATTCCATTAGAAACACAAGTAGCCCAGGAGTCTACAGTGCCACAGTTCTTTTTGCAAAGTTGTTTACCTTGGTCATGCCAGGATCTGCTGATTGTGGTTCAAGAAGCCTTTGTCACCTTACCCTGTTTGCGGCCTTCGCTAAAGTGATTAGACTGCATTACTTGGTGCTATGCACACAGAGTAGGCTTTCATGCTATGCAGAGCTCGAAATTAGTCATGAAAGTCTAGGGGTCTTTGTCATAACCCTAATGTTAAAAGTTAAAATATAGGTTTTAATACTATTGCAGCAAACATCACCGACCCCAGGACACCGTTAATTTTGAACACTGTTATGGTTTAACTGTCTGAATGGGCACTAAACCCAGCTCGCTCATACCAAAAGACGTTAAAAGATGGTACTTGTTATTACCCTGTCTGGCGCTCAGCATTAAGGGGCTAAAACAAGGACTGGTCGGCTCGGAGTCAGTATACTGTGTCTGAGTGGGGTATTCATGTTAAACTGCGGCATGGTATGTCAGTGAGCTAGCACTATAAATCGGCATCAGTCCAGACTAGTACAAGCAGCCACACACGCGCATGCACATCGTTATATAAGTGCAATAATCTTGGACATGATGTTAAACCCCATTTCACCTCACCTCACCTCACCTCACCTCACCCACCTCACCCACCCACCCACCCACTCACTCACTCACTCACTCACTCACTCACTCACTCACTCACTCACTCACTCTGTGTTCCAGGACATCCCAGCCGGGGAGGAACTGCTGACATGGTTCTCACTCAGCTACCAAATGCAGAAGAAGAAAAAGAAGAAGAGGAAAAGTGTCGACGCCGTGGAGGAGAAGGAGACAGGTTGGTGACCTTGACGTTCTGACATCAGTGGGGGGATTCCTGAGCCCAGGGGACTAACTCACAGTTGTAATTCTGGAGTGTGTGTTATAGGCATGAACATAGGGATGTTTTCTTGATTTCCGAGAATTTTACTTTTATTTAGATTTCAAGGTTAGATTGAAAAAAAATCAACCACTAACACACTGAGCTTTGAGTATATTGTTACTGAAAAATAAATTTCAATTTTATATAGAATTCAATCGACAATTAGGATTTGTTCTATTTGGTCCAATAAGCCAAATGTCTTTTTTGTCCCCCTCACAATGTAAATTATTTGTGTCCATTCACAAGTTACAAATGTGCATAAGAGGCAGTATTGTGCATCAGGTAAAATCCTGACTGGGCCCACTTGCACAAAGTGATCTTAGCTCTAAGATGATCGTAGCTCTCATACTTTAACATAGGCTTACAATAGTCTTAGCGCTAAGATCGCTTGTGCAAGTGGGCCCAGGAGATTTAGAGTCAGTATGCACTTGCCCATCCTGCAGAAGATCAAATGTCCTTCAACACTCTGCCCGGGACTCCAGATTACATTGTAGGCCTTTGAGTTATCAGTCCCTTTGGGTATTGAAAGTTTTCTTTGGGTATCAATATATTTTTACTTGTATTTTTCACCAATGATGAAACTTTTTGAATAATTCTGCTTTATGTGACTTCTAATTTGTGTCTGTTTGTGTGCTGCCCCTAGTGTGTTAGATGTCGCATGAACTTACAACAGAGATATACATGTGTCATTAACAATGTGCGAAATGTAGCGCCTTGTTTATGCAATATTTACAACGGTAGACTATTGTTCATGCATGTGTCGCCTGCATTCGAGGAGTAAATAAAGCTCTGCATGTTGAGAAGGCTACAGTAGGTATTTACGTAGAGTTATGATGTACTATTGGATTTTATAAATAGGTCACAGGGCTCATGATAAGGCTGTATCAGTGTATATACGGAAGACAATATGCACGATACGTTGGGGGATAATTTAGAAAACGTATGAGATACGCATCGCTGTATACATGTACGGTCTAACATTCATTTATAGACATAATTCCCCAAAAATATATTCTGATAACCAGTATGATGCCTTGAAGCGAACTTTACTTGACAGGGGGTGGATACATATATCAAAAATGCAGATTTGTTGTAGTTTGATTGTTACATGTCAACATAGAGTTTTTGCGAGTGTGGGAGCTTCGATGGTAACTGCTTATATTGTTCAATATGTAAAAAATATCCGGCTACAGCGATGAGCTGTGCAAAAAGAAGTGATACATGTATGGTTAGAACTAGTTTAAATATGTATCGTAAAAGTGCAACTAAAATACCACGATACTGGAACATATTATTACTGATAAAATAATAGTTTCACATACAATTGTTCCGACCATTGCATCAGAATTCAATCAAAAGATTGTGAGAAAACTTGTGTACAGCTGATTGCTGTTTCAGGCTTAGTGTATGATAAAAAAACATGGTAATCTTAATCTCTGCATATAAAACAATGCCTAGTAGTACTGGAAATACAATTCAAACGGTAAATCATCATGTCTTGTTTTATCTGAAATTTAAGATTTGCATTGACAAAGTTGTTCACTTGTTTGTTTACCTTACTTGGGAGAAGGAATACGATGTAAAAAAGTTCCTTAATTTTTTAGGGTTGGTTGCACAATAGTCGTAAGTGTGTAATGAAAAAGGTATTATTTATTGTTTATTGACCTGTTTACATGAGAGTATTAATGCTGTGGTGCCTGTCCAAAATTAGATAAAAGATTAATCCATTAAATCCCATACAGCACTCTAAGTGTACTCTTTAGTTTTGCTAGTACTCATATCTTGAAATAATGAGTACGTACTCCAGATGCTGAAAAATTACCTGGAGCTCTATTTGTTTGGAAACAATCAATAAGTACCGGGTAATTGGTGGTTTATTATCTGGGCTTTGCTGCACCCACTGTCCTCAGTAACTCTTGTTGTAAGACCTGTCCGAGAAGGATGATTGTGTGAGTGAGTTGTGTTTAACGCCGCTTTTAACAGTATTCCAGTTATATCGCGGCGTGTCAGCTTAATGTGGGAGGAAAGCCCGAAGTGATGCAGGTCTCAGATGTTTACCACTTCGGTGAAACCCACGAACACGGGTATGGTGCTGACAAACTTAGAAACATAATCGGGGCGAACCGGGATTCGAACCCATAACCATAGGTATTCGGCGATGCTACTCTGCACAGCGAATTGCAGCGCCTTAGCCTTAGCCACCCGTGCCTTAGCCGACTGGGCCACCCATGCCCCCCTAAGATGAGGTGATTCGAAAGTGACAAGGGTGATTGTGTTGTCATGCCCATGCTTTCAGCCATTGGTCTATCTGGCCCATTATGATGAACACGCTTTGAACGAACTGATGGATATAATGAACGGGTTTTTTGGTCAGGGACATTTGCCGTATACTTTAGTCTAAATGCTTATTATGAACTACGATTATAGCAAACTAAAATTATTGGTCTCTTTGAGTTTGTTGTTGTTTACTGTAGCTATTTACAGTTGAACATGATATATATGGGAAAATTATTCACTTATATAAGATAGCTACGCGATAAATCACAAAGTATAATAAAGAACAAGGCGTTGTTTATTTCATGATACAATATTGTTCTATCATGACGTCATGTCTGGAGATTCGAACATGTGTTCGCAACTTGATGACGTTGTGTATTGGACGACGTTATTCTTTAGAGGGAAGTGTCCAGTGTGAGTTGTTCCCCATAGGTGCATTTGAACAACACAGATGACTGCAATGGCCGAACAATCGCACCCAATATTGGGAGAGATAAGATAATTGGTATTGGGAGAAAATGTGCAGATAATCGACGTGAAATTTTGAGAATGCCAAACTTAACCCCCCTGTACATAAAATGGACTATATGCAGGGAGTCATCATTATTTAAATACGACTAAATGCTGCACAAAATGTTGATATGTTATATAAGGAGTAATCGACTTGTGATCATTGTTTAGCGTACAATAAAACACTGCAGGGAGAATAAACTATGAGGGGCGCATTAAATAAAATATTGTACAACTATTAATGTCTAATCATTCAGAGTTGCAACAGTCACCGTATTGATATTACACCCACAGAATAGAGATACAGTAGACTTGATAATCAAGGATGGGTTCTGCACAGAACAGGCAATGGTAACCCATGAAGATCCCGATTAGAATTGTTTTTCTGCAACCCATGCTTGTCGTAAGAGGCGACAAACGTGATCAGGTGGTCAGGCTTGCTGACTCAGTTGATGCTTGTCATTGTATCCCAATTACGTAAATTAATGGACATGATGCAATCACAGGAGTGTCTGGTCCACACGATTATTTACAGACCGCCGTCATATAGCTGGAATATTGTTGAATGCGGTGTTAAACATCAAACAAACAAAATGGGCAATGGTGAATAACTGCTGACATTCCAGTTGGTCACACTTAAGTTCTGTAGCACAATAAACCTGGACTGAGATTTGTTTGAGAGGTCACGCTAGTTTCATGATATGATCCTGTCTACTTCCAGTCACAGCACCAAATAAAAGGAAGAAGAAGTCTTCCTCTGTCTCCGAGTCAACCCCAGGCGATGATATGGGGACGCCATTGTTGTATGAGATCATGACTGCAGACACCAAGCTGAAGAAAGCAAAGGACACTTCTGCAATGGTTGATGAGAAGAAGAAACCACCCAAGCTAAGCAAGTCGAAATCCACAGGAAGCATTGATGTCAACATGCTCAAGGGTAGCCTCAAGAAACCGACCACGCCTACCAAGAAAGCGCAGACAGCAAGCAGTACACCAATTAAGGATCTCATTATTGTGCCGTCTGCTGTCGCTTCTCCAGGAATTAATTCCAAGAAAGTAACTCCAAAGAAAGCATTGAAGGTTAAAGACCTTATCGCGATGCAAGATGCAAAAAATGGTGTCTCAAAATCAGACATTTCACCTTCACCTAAAAAACTGCCCATCCCTAAACTGAAAAATATGTCAACAAGTCCCAAGGTCAAGGGTCAGAGTAAGGTCAAGGCTGATGGTCCACCTGATCTTGCAATGGCGGGAATGGTTCTTCATAGTGAATATGAATCGGGCAAGATATTCCAGTTTGAGGTCAGACCTGAACATCATGCCGAAAATAAACTGGGGAAAAAGATGTTTTCTTGTGATATTTGTCACGCTCCCTATAACCATGCGTTCAGTTTAAAGCGCCATTTCCTCCGTAGTCATATCAATGCAAAGTACCTACCACTCAGTGATATCACAAACTGCCTCATTAATGTCGTGCTGCAAGAATCTGCAGTCAGAAGCTGTAAAGGCAATGCAAGGTGGTTTTCTAAAGAGGCAAATAAAAAACAGAAAAGTTCGGATGTTGAGAAGGACCAAGATAAAGCTGCAGAGGAGACGGAGGATAGTAAGGAGACGACAACTATGCCCGGTGTATACAGATGCTACCTGTGTGCCGAACTCTATGATGACCTTGATGGTCTGAAGAAACACACCCAAAACCATCCGTCTCAGGAGAAAGTGGCCAAGAAATTATCGTGTGAGAAGTGCAGTATGAAGTTCAGTGGCAAGAACAACCTTGCAAGACATCAGGAGACTCACCTTGGTCAGTAGTTCTTTGTACACTAAAACTTACCGGGGTAGGTTAGAATAGCTAGTCGTAAGAAGCTACTAAATGGATCGGGTGGTCAAGCTCGGAATCATGATAGCATGTCTTTGTACCATGATGGTGTGGATCGTTTGTTCATAATATCAATCACTGGATTGTCTGGCTCAAACTTGATTTGCTACAGGACGTCATATTGCTGCTGAGTAACTAACAAACTTAATACCACTGAAAATATAATCGTGTTTTCTGTAGTTCAGGATTTGTTGAGATTATGTAACCTTTGGGGATTCCAGGGTTAAAGTTGATCCCCAGTAACCCATGCTTATCGTACAATAGATCAGGTGGTCAGGCTTGATTGTGTTATCATACCCCATAGATTGTTGCTCATTATACCTATCAGTGTACTGTCAGATTGAATTACAGGCCACAGGCCACCATCTAGTCTTGCACCATGACCATAGAATATATTTATTTTATGAAAAAAACATAATCTAGAAATGCATACAAAAGCAAGTCTAGCCAGCTCAAGCTAGCTCTATTCTGACATCAGCATAGGGACTTTTTTTTATTTTTAGAGTCAAGAAGGATATTGTGTAATATAAGATTTCAGAGACTAAATGTTAGTCTAGCCACCACCATATCAAGCTAGAATATTGTGAGTGTGGCGTTAAAAACAAACAAATGATATGCACAGTCACCATTCGAACAAGCATGAGGGGCGGTCGGGTAGCCTAGTGGTTAAAGCGTTCGCTCGTCTTGCCGAAGACCCGGGTTCGATTCCCGACATGGGTACAATGTGTGAAGCCCATTTCTGATGTCCCCCGTCGTGATATTGCTGGAATATTGCTAATAGCGGCGTAAAACCAAACTCACTCACTCACTCACTCGAACAAGCATGATGCACTGTCAAATCATTCCAACATTGCATGACACAAAACAGATATTAGAATTAGAACACAGTTCTTTGTTTGTTTATCGTTGTAGTGAGACGTTAAACAATATACAAGTAATACAACTGTTGTTGTTGATATTAGACATCACCTTACATCAAAAGTAAATCATGGGATATTTTCGTCAGAGGTCTTTTTCATCTTTATGTTGTATCAATGTCAAATATTTGTCTTTGGATTTTCTAGTATGCAAAGAAGACAAGTCTTTTTAGTCGGTTTTGTCATTCTTCAAACACAGGCTTTTATTTAATGTTTAATATTTATAGAACTTTTTTACCCGTGAAGATTCCGGGGTAGAATAGGTCTTCAGCAACCCATGCTTGTCGTAAAAGGCGACTAACAGGATCGGGTGGTCAGGCTCGCTGACTTGGTTGATGCATGTCATCGATCCCAATTGTGTGGATTGATGCTCATGATATTAATCACTGGATTGTCTGGTCCAGACTCGATTATTTGCAGACCGCCATCATATAGCTGGAATATTGCTGAGTGCGGCGTTAAACAACAAACCAACCAAACCAAATCTAGAACTTTTTTTCTTTCTATTTTTTACTTGGAAATGTTAGTTGAAATTGTAGCTATGTGAGCTGCAGTGTTAGTCATGCTTGTGTTGATGGTCTTGCAGTTTCATAGATTTTGTGCACAATATATTTTTAATGGTAAGCTCAGCAGAATAGACGTTATTTGTGCTTTTAAAATTTTATTTTTCTAACACTTTTTAAGATTGTTGTTTGTTTGACGCCACACTCAGCAATATACCAGCTATGTGACAGTGGTCTGAAAATAATTGAGTCTGGACCAGACAATCCAGTGCTTAACATTATGAGCATGAATCTACACAATGGGGATGCGATGCCAAGCATCAACCAAGTGAGCAAGCCTGACCTCCCGATCCCTTTAGTCGCCTCTTACGACAAGCAGGGGATGCTGAAAACTAATTCTTACCCGCATCTTCACCGGGGACATTACTGGTGAGTCGGGGAACCTGTGAAGGGAGGAATAGAGCCTCATTCTGACATTTTGTAGAGTTTGAAACTGGTTCCGTTGTTGTGTGGCTGTAATACTATGTGCGTTCACTCAGTCTCTTTGTATTGCATGAAATAGATGTACGTTATGTTCAGTAATTTTTAATAGTCAGGTTTGTAAAGTAATATGTTGTGTGTTTTTTATTTTTTTCGGAACAGAATCCAAGCAAGTGAGTTGTATGGTGTGTGGAAAAGGTTTCAACAAGGAGTCAAACATGAAGAAACATCTTCAGTTTCATCTCAACAAGAATTTTGCTTGTGGAATCTGTGCCGAAAAATTTACAACAGTCGCAGAACTCAGGAAACATGTCCGCATGGAGCACTCAGGTTCAGAATCCAAAATGGCCGTTCAGCTGAAACAGATGGAATCTGGGCGAGATAAACCTGTAAGGATGGAACCTTCAGAGCTTGCTAAGAAGCCAGTGAAGGTCAACATCATTAAGAAGAAAAAGATGAAGAAGAAGATGGTGGTGGCAGCACTAGCATCATCAGCCTCAGGAAGCAGCCAAGTCAGTGGAGCAGACCACAGCTCCGCCAACATGGGTGAGTGCTTTTGTAACGGCCATAAAATTTCCGAGTCCCGTGATGGGATTCGAACCACGGACCTTCTGATCACAGGTCGGACGCCTTGTCCACATGACCAAAGAGGTTAACCCCGTCAGCAAGCTGACAAGGTAAGGATGTCACCTGTGGGATGACTCCACGCCCCGCTACACTTTCAATACACAGTCCATAAACTCATTAAGTTTTGCTGTAGTGGTGAGACAATACACCCATGGATCGGTGGATCGCAGTATTTTAATTCCCTATACAAGTATCAATCACAGTCGCACACTAAGTAAAAAATATTGATTCATACCTTAAATGTCTACTTTAATGGCGCCACCAAACACTAATTGGTAGTGAAATTAAGTTGTGAAAAAGTAAATATTTTGATACTGTTAATCGTCAGTGTGCCAGGTATTTGGCCATCCTGCCTATGAAAAAGATGCCTTACACACAGATAAGAGCACATATAAGTATCGTGAACAATGTATCGTGATATGTATCAGATTGCACTGTTGGTGTATCGTCCAAGCCCTATTTTGCTGTGGGATATTACCGACCAGAATAGGTTCCCAGGCCCTCATGCATGCTTGAGTGCGGCGTTAAACAATAAACAAACATACAAACAAACATGCTAGCCATAAGCGTTGTATAAAATGAGAGGTGAGGTGAGGTGAAATGGTGTTTAACATCACGTCCAAGATTATTGCACTTATATAGCGACTGCATGTACGTGTGTGTGTTTGTGTGGCTGCTTGTACTAGTCCGGACTGATGCCGATTTATAGTGCTAGCTCACTGAGATACCATGCCGCAGTTTAACATGGATACCCCACTCAGACACAGTATACTGACCACGAGCCAACCAGTCCTTGTTTTAGCCCCTTAATGCCGAGCGCCAGACAGGGTAACAACAAGTACCATCTTTTAATGTTTATTAGTAGGACGCGGTTGGGGATCAAACCCCATACCTTCTGCTCTCCAGGCGGACGCTCTACCACTAGACCACGGAGGTGGTCGTATAAAATGAGAGGTTAGGCTATGTGTTCATTATGGGCATTGTGTCATTGCTGCATATTAAATTGTATTGGCCATGATTGTGCTAATTCTGATGCCAGTTCTAATAAAAATCACACATAAAACAAAACGGGCATTAATAATTTCGACCCATTTCAGTTAAGGAGTTTAAAATTATTTTAACTCAATGGCCTTGGAAACACTGGCATTAAAATATACATTGCTGTTTCATCTCACAGGATGGGGTACTTTATATAGAATAGATACCTACTTAATACACCCATGGCACCATATTTAAAACTAATATGATGCAACTTGCTGTTTTACAGAACAATGTAAACAAATAAGAAAATTCTGCATATTATATTGTAGTAGTGGCCGATACACCAATGCATCGGTTGATCACGATTTTTCACTTCTCAGTACAAGTATCGATCACAATTGCACACTAAGTAAAAAGTATCGATTCTAACCTTAAATGTTTTCTTTTATAAATGTTACACCAAACACTCTGTACTGGTGAAAATGAGCAGTGAAAACGTAAATATTTTAATACATTGCGCCATGCTTGACACTGCCAATTGTACATCGTCAGTGTGCCAGGTATATTTGGCCATCCTGCCTATGATAAAGATGCCTTGCACGTCACTTATTAGAACATGTGCAAGTACCGTGATATGTATCGGATCCTGAGCAAGGTATAATGATACGTATCAGATCGCAGTTGGTGTATCGTCCCAGCCCTATGTCACTGTATGGTACGACATTTCTGAACAAAGAGTGCAAAAATATAATCTACATTATCATACAAATTGTTATTCCATCTGAAAAGTTTATTTATTTCTCCACAGATCCTAACAAGCCAATTCCTTGTCCAATCTGCAATAAACGCTTCTCCTCCGAGGCAAGTATGAAGAAGCATGCCCAATTCCATGGCAACCGTAGATTCAGCTGCAGGTACTGCAAGGAGAAATTCCCACATCCGTTTGGCCTCCGGAAACATTTGTGGTCCTTCCACACTGCACAGATGAAGCAGAATCTTAACAGGACACCGGGTGTCATCCGCAAGGTGCCGAACTTTCACCAGAAAAAGAATGAAACATACGATGAAAAGTTTCCCGAGAAAGCCAATGAGAAAACAGACGTGGAGAAGATGGTGCCTGATATCAAGGAGGAGGGCAAACCTGTGAAACAGTTGGCTGCTGTTGCGGAGAGTCAAAAAGCTTCTGGTGAGAACATACGTCCATGAGAAGAATACTAGATGTAGACAAATTCAATGCAGGTGTGGATCCAGGGGAAGGGAGGCGATTCATTGAAAGTGCCATACAGTCCCCAATGAAATGAGGGGGCGGTCGGGTAGCCTAATGGTTAAAGCGTTCGCTTGTCACGCCGAAGACCCAGGTTCGATTCCCGACATGGGTACAATGTGTGAAGCCCAATTCTGGTGTCCCCCGCCATGATATTGCTGGAATATTGCTAAAAGCGGCGTAAAACCATACTCACTCACTCACTCACTCACCCAATGACATGAGAGAAAAAATTAATCTTGCATAAAATATAATGATGTGTCAAAACAAAAAACGGGATAATTCGCACACAAAGCTGTCTTGCTTTTCGAGTGGTGTAATGCATTACTAATGTTCACTCGACCTATATAGAATAACTTCAGTTCAAAGGTCAAGTAAGTAATCAAAGCATCCTTTGAGGAGGTTGTTTTGATCATGTTTGTGACAGTATCGTCGTCATCTAATCACCATTTTTATTTCAAAGCATAACATACCGCTGTTAGTATCACATCACGTTTTCATGTCAGTAATTTTATGATTCCTTTTCCCACCCACCACTCATCCCTCACAAATCCACCCACCTTATCAGTAAAAGAAGGGGGCACGAGTGGCCCAGTCGTCTTGGGCATGACAATTCGCTGTGCAGAGTTGCGTCCCTTGGGCACACCAGAAACCTATGATTGTGGGTTTGAATCCCGGTTTGCCCCGATTATGTTTCTAGGTTTGTCAGCACCAAACCCATGCTTGCGGGTTTCACTGAAGTGGTAAACGTCTGAGACCTGCATCACTTCAGGCTTTCCTCTCACATTAAGCTGACACACCGGGATATAACTGGAATACTGTAAAAGCGGCGTTAAACCCAAATCACTCAATCACTCACTCACACAGTAAAAGAAACATTTTAGTCTCTCACCATTGATATTATGTCTTGTTATCGCTTATGTTAACTATACTGTTTCCTTCCAGCTGAGAAGCCCTTCTCCTGCAGAGTGTGTGGTAAGGCTTTCCCAAGTGAAGCCAACATGAAGATGCATCTCCAGTACCATTTTGGGAGGACCTTCTCCTGCCGCTTCTGCTTCAAGAAGTTCCCACATCCGGCCAGTCTCCGCAAGCACCTCAACGCCGAGCACCCAGAGGGTATGGTGAATGGAGTGCTCATCAAGAGCAAGCCAGACATCATTATCGGGCCTGATGGGAAGAGGTTGAAGAGGAAGAGGAAGAAGAAGGTCAAGTCAGAACTCGAGTTGATGCTCAGAATTGAGAATCCCGAGGTAAAAACGGAAGATATTGTAGAGGTGAAGCAGGAACGGGATGTCGACAATGAAAGTACACAAAGTCAGGAATTTGAGTCTGCACGTCTTGAAAAGATTTCCCAGGAAGCCGAGGAGGAAGATCCGTGGGAAGAAGAGATTCAAATCACGAAAGAGTTAAAGAAGAAAGCCAGGTTGCATTTTGCCTGCATTCTTTGCAAGAAGAAGTTTAACAGTTACGTGAACATGTGCAGACACAAGAGGCTAGCTCATAGGGTCAAGAAATACGGCATGCCCACAGTGACACGTCAAAGGATTGCCGCAAGGCTGCAAGACTGTGTGGTGGTCAATGATTATATTCCTATAACCCCTGCCGAGTTCTATGCAAGCATAGCTGACAACATTGCTACCAATTTGGACAATTATATTGATGGTAAACAAGAAGCTTTGACCAATTATGAGAAGCATGTGAGAATTCCAGATTACCAGTCTGTGTATACCGTTGCCTCGGAGGACCAACCTCAACTAGACTGGTCGAAATACAACTTCCCCAAATCCTACACACCCTGGCAGGGCATTGTGGGATATGACATTGAGGAGGATCTCCTTAGTATTTATGATAAGATTGGTTTCCGAGATGAACGTGCTGCCAGAAGACTGAGAAGAAGTCGAAGCAGTAGCGATGCATCCTTTGAGGTTGAAAACAAGGAAACTGGAGATGAAAACAGTAACCTCAGTATCCCAGAACGAAAGTCGGTGGATGATGAGGCTCAGTCTAAGGCTGTTAAACTAGAAGAGAACATCTCTGTTGTAGAGGATGGAGGTTTTAACAGCATCGGAATTTCACCACAACTCAAGTCAGAGTCTAAGACTTGTGATAATGGTGATAAAAAATCAGCAGTTAAGACTGAAAAGTCTGATATAGTTTCTGGTTCAGATTCCATGACTGACAAGGATTGTCATTTTGTTCCAGGGATAAATGTGAAAAAATGTGATGGTTCAGTTCTTGAAGTGAAGCCTAATATTGAAAAGTGCAGTAAATTGATTCCTGAAGTCGGGTCAGTGGCTGAAAAGGATGTTTATATAGACACAAAATCAGGATCCCTTCCTGGAAAGGACAGAAGTTTAGTTCTTGAATCGGAGCCTAAACCAGAAAATGATGGTGGTTCGGTTCCCGAATCTGTGTCAAAAATTGAAAAGGATACAGTCACTGCCCAACAGGAAACTGAATCTAATGCTACGCAAGACCATAGTGGACTTGAAAGCGAGAAAAATTTGCAGCAACACACACCGAAAGTTGACACGCAGACTCAATTTGTTTCTGGTACTGATACAGCTGTGCTGATAGATATTGTATCTGATGGTGAAGAGCCTGAAGAAGAAAGGAGCATTGTTTGTAAGGATGATGAACAGGAAAACATAAAAATTGATCACAATGACATTTGTTCAAATGGTGAAGTTATGCCTTATACCATTCCTGAAGAAATTGACTATGAAATTGAAGAATGTATGAATGAAATGATTGAACAGTGTGCAAAGTCACAACAAAATGACACAGATTCTGTTCAGAATGCTAGTGTAGATGTTCCTCGGGATGAGGCACCACTGGTAGAGTCGCCTCAAATGAATGTAGAATCTGTGACTGCAGATTCTACATGTGCATGTGCTAGTACTGTGTCAAAAGACGCTGCTGAATTGGTACAGAAAGGTGATACGATATCTACCACAGAGCCTTGTGTAAGACCTGGGAAAGAAGACATCACAAGTTCATTGGCTACAACATCGGACACTTCTAGTGGCTTGGAAGATGGTAGTGAGAAGAACCTTGTGAAAGAATGCATGCCAAATCAGCAGAAGGGTGCGGAACTGTACTGTATCACTGAATCAAGGAATATGTCGTCAGAAAGAAGTAATCCTGGGATGGATTCTTCAGTTGATGACGGCTGTGAGGAAGTTTCAGATGGTTTTGACAAATGTGGAGGTGGTTCTTCTGGTGAAAAGTCTGAAAGGGTTCGTTCTATTCAGGTTGATGAATCAAGAGGAGATTCTTTATATCATGTTCAAAGATCTGAAGATTCTCCTGTTGATGTTGAGGATTTGGTGAAAGATCCCTCTGTTGGTGTTGGGAAAACAGGAAAAGATTTATGTATTGATGTAGAGAAATCTGGAAACGATTCTTCCATTGGTGTTGAGGAATTGGTAAAAGATTCTGCCATTGGTATTGATGAAACAGGAAAAGTTTCTACCATAAGTGTGGCTTATGGAAAGGAGTCTTTAGTTGGGGAATCTGAAAAGGAAACAAATAACTCTTCTCTTCTACCTGACAAAACCAGAAGTGATTCCTCAGTTGAAGAATCTCAGCCAAGTGGTATGAGTTCTGTTGACAAAACAAGAAGTGATTCCTCAGTTGAAGAATCTCAGCCAAGTGGTATGAGTTCTGTTGACAAAACAAGAAGCGATTCCACCAGTTCTGTAGATTCCTTCCCTTGTGAATCAAAAGTGTTTGTGACAAATAACATCAGTATTCTAATTACCCCTGCCACTACAGAAACAGTGCCTATAACGTCTGTTCCACTTACAGATGCAACCCATGTGATACAAAGTGACAGAACTGTGTCAGAACCTTTGACTCAGGATATTTTTCATTCAAAACTTACAATGGACGCGCACAACTACTCACAACCAAGTCACTGTGATTCACTTGTTCTTGAGGAAAAATCTTGCCCTGTGTTGGAGCATGTTTCAAGTAATGATAAACCATGTAGTATGACTAATGATAAGTCTGACAGTGTTGGTCAAGGAACTGCATCAGAATGTGATCCTGATGGTCGAGGATGGAGTTGCGACAAGGAAAAGCCACAGAAAGTTGAGGTGGATGTCCTGGATGAAAGAAAGGAATGTGTGTGTGCCACTGACGAAACAAAAACTAGCTGTCATAAGAAGAAAACTTGTGTGCTTGAAAGACAAACGGATTCATCTGTACCTCTTGTTGCCTCGTCCTGTAATGAAAGTCCACAACCTAAGGCTGGTGACTGTGTTTGTGAAACTGATGAACAAAGTAACATTGATAGCTATGCAGAATTCAGTGCCAAGATTGGTCTTGTTGAGGTTAAACAAAGTGACTGGACAATGTCTGAATCACCTTCTGTTGCTAGTGTTGATGGTGAAGCAGATGTGACGATGTGGATCAAGAATGTTGTCCTCAGGGATGTCATCCAGAACGTTTTCACCCATTCTGCTGCAGTCGCCTCAAACAACAAAACAGTCATTGAGGAGGAATTGGTTCAAAGTAGTTCTGTGAAAAATATAAACTTAAAGATGGAAGCCAGCTTTGATGGTAATGTAGGGATGGTAAAGACAGAACCAGAGGAATCAACCATAATGGATAGAGATATTGAAGATGCTGTAGAGTCCATCCTGTGTGAGGTTGCCTCAAATAACATCACATCTGACACTAGTCCGTTGTTAGAGGGAAACAACAACAAGGTTACTTCATGTATGGAGAGTATTAAGATAGAGATACCCCCTGTGTTAGTACCCTACTATGAAGATTATGACGATGGACATGAAGAGGATAGTTCACAAATAGCATCCCACATTCTTTCAGATATCATCAACAGTGTTTGTCCTGTGTCTGAAGATGAAGTGAAATTTTCATCCGATGAACCTAAAGATCACCCTGGCCTTAATGATTTTGTGATGACCGCTTATAATGACCATCTGAAATCACCAACAAGTATTTTGAGGCATCTCCAGCTGATCAGATGGGATAAAGAAAGCCTTGACAGCCTGACAGTCAATATTTCGGATGATGATCACAAGGAAGAAGAGATACCTCCTCAGGGAAAAGTAATCCGATACAAGCCCCATCTCCAGCTCAGCCCAGTACCCAGTGCTTCCTTCAACACCATCTCCTTCGGGAGCCATGGTCCAGTGAATTACATTTGCGGAGTTTGTAAGAAACATTTCTTGATGACCGATGCTCTGCTGAGGCATCACTTCAAGAAGCATCCTTCCATAGATTTCAGCTACATTGAGATAGAGAATGGCAATGACATTGATCTGTTGTTTTACACATGGCCATGCAATTTTGGACTTCTGGCATCTTCACAACCATTTTCTGAAGATTGTCGCAATCTGGATTTGTTTACATGTACCAGATGTGGCTCTACATTTAAGCATATACACAGACTCCATGTCCACATCATTAACTGTGATCCGAAAAATTATGAAACACTTGCCTCAAAGAGAAGGAAGTACAGACGAAAGATAAGAAAGCAGTTGCTGGAGGCAATGAAGTCCAAGACAACTGACGCTGAAGGAACACCAGCTCCAGTAGTTGTTGCAGCCCCCAGAAGACCAGGTAGACCAAGGGGAATACTAGGTCGTAAGAAGAGGCTTGATGGTATTATTGATAGCCCAAAGAATAGGAAGAGAAGGAACTATGAACTACTGTACAATCCTCACAATCACATTCGCAGAAGAGAGATGACTGACGTTGTGGAAAAGCACCAGTGCCGTGGATGTGAAAACACTTTCAAGACCCTCTCCCTGCTTGAGAGGCATGCAAAGAAGTGTTCAGGAAGAGACAAACTTCAAAGTCTGAGACCAGTTCAGAGCTCTTTACTTGAGGACATGGCTCAGAAACCAAGACATACCTGTAGATACTGTTCTAAACATTTTACATACCTCAAGAGTCTTGCAAATCATTATAGAGCATTCTGTTCGATAAGGAAGTCTCGTCAGCAGAAAGGTCTTCTTGGGGCAGAGGATTTTCAAGATGAAGAAGACCTCCTGAAGTTAATAAAGAAACTTGAAATGGCCAAATTGGAGAGCAAGGAAACAGAGGTGGATGAGAATGATGGAAGGAGGAAGAGAGGAGGCTGGCCAAGAGGGATGAAGAGGAAGAATAGACGCAAGAGACATTGCTGGACTTATGTGAAGAAGAGGAAGCCTGATGATAAGGATGAGGTTGAGGGGGAACTGGTTGATCCAATGCTGTGGAATCCTGAAGTAGACTGGATGGATGAGCTACTTCCTGCTGGCCATGGTGAGGAAGACGATTCAGAAGAGGAGGAGGAAGAAGAAACTAAGGAACCTGTTCCTAAAGAAGGAAAAACAGAAGAGGAAAATGTGAAAGATGTTAAAAAAGGGAATGCTGCATCTGGCAATGAAGTTTATGTAGACTCAAAAAAAGACATTCCTTCTAGTGCTAAACCAGAGAGTGCCAAACCTGAGAGTCCAAGAAAAGTAAAGAAGAAGGCAAGTACTACAGTGAAAGAAGAGGCAACAGATGTTCCAACTGAAGAGCCAAAGATACAACTTGAAGTTTCTAGTCCAAGGAAGAAGAACATCAAGATAATTATCAGTGAACCTGTCCATGATGAACCTGAAGCCACACAGGTTCCTCCAGCAGCCAAAGAAACAGAAGGTGTTGGAAGTATTCATGAATCTGAAGATAATGGAAAAGATGAACCTGAAGGATCTGGTTATGTTCAGGACTCTGTGGAACCTATAAATGCTCCGAAGTCATCATCAGGACCTGAAGATGGAGGAGCAATCATTTTAAGTCCTGTCAAATCTGAAGGTGAAATCCCTGCCACAAGTGAAGGATCAGGAACTCCGGGGTCGAGTCCAGAAAAGAAAAAGAGGAAGTATGTGAGGAAGGTTCCCCTTGAAGAGGTTCTGCTAAAGAAGAAGAAAAACCGAATGATGAAATTGGGTCTTATTGGCGATGGTGGCACTGTCTCTAAACAAACTGAATCATCCTTGATTGGTAGTGCTTTGGGTTCTCCTACAAAGAAGAAGAAAGCTCAGGTTGGAAAGTCAGAGCCAGTGAAAATTGCCCCAGTTATGGGTGACTTGAAGCTAGCTCAAGTCAGTGATATAGTAATGAAGCCTGCATTGGCCATCAAAACAGCATCGCCTATGAATATGACTAAGAATAAGGATGTTCTTGATGGTGGTACAGTTACTCTGATAACAGTGTTTCCACAAAGCAAGCCTTCAATCATTAACGCACCAATAATACAGATTGTTAACGAGAAACCAATAAACATTTCACCAAAGAAGACAAAGCAGGACTCTCCTCCCCAGAAAACAGTGAAACAGTCCCCCAATAGGTGTGCAAAGGACAGCAGTGCTAGTGCAACAGAATCGCCTTCTCCTCTGAAAACTGCCAAGGTTAAGACTCCAAGAAAGATTCAAAAGTCCCCTTGCAAGACAAAGACGATGAGCCCAAAGACTGAAGTGAGTTTGAGTGATCATGTAGAAATTGATTCTTTGGAAAAATCTACAAAGAAAACGCCGAAGAAAAATAAAAGAGCTACTTCTGTGCCTAATTCATGTGTAGAGATTGTGAGTATTCCCACTGAAGCGAAGACTCCAACCAAGACAACTTCAAAGAAATCATCAGAAGCAAGTAGTACTCATGCTGATGCCAATACAGAAAGTAACACTACTTCAAAAGGTAAAACAACTCCGAAAAGGACCCCTGCAAAGGTCAAGGTTACACCTAAGAAGGGTTCAGCTGAGACTGGGGGTTCCAAAAAGGGTGCCCAAAAGGCTGGAAATGTCAAGAAAACACCAACTAAGTGCCAAAAGACTGATAAAACTGTGTCTGTGAAGAAAAATGAACAGGTATCCGAGACTGACAAAGCTTCACCCTCAGGTAAAGGTCAGCCTAAGAAGCGGAGGACGGGTCTGAACTCGTCCTTGCTGTGTGAAGAAGATCCTGAATTTCTGTTTGATTCTGATGATTCTGAAGAGGTACTGGCAAGGAAAAGACCCAAGCCGAGATTAAAGTGTGTCATCGAGAATCCAAATCTAGTGAATAAGGTGTCTGAGTTTGGGTCTGAATCCGATATTAGTCGGTAACAAAGCAGCTCAAGAATATTTCATCATCCGAGTGTGTCGAGTTATTCCTCCGAGTGTGGTTTTCATGTCATGATTAGATGTTAATCCATGGAGAGTATTTGATTTAATCTCAAATGTGATATATTTCATGTGTTTTCTGGCGAAGTGGACTCATCAGTGTGACGAAATCCAAGGTTCCGAAAATGGAAAGTTGAAATTGGGCACAGTTGTAAAATATGATGCCAGATATAGAAAGTGAATGTTATGCTTTCCTAAAAAACAAAGAAATGTCTGGTGATTAATGTCATTTGGGCAATCTCATCCACTGTTTCAACATTGGTAAATATGTCTTCAAGAATTCAGGGAAGACCCTGAAGAGAGGAGCTAATTGGAACTTATGATAGTAATACAATGTTATCCAGTCATTTCCGTGATGATTGGTGTGTGTTTGGACAAGATTGGTTGAGGGGACCGTTTGATAACATCACGCATGTGACAATTTTACATTTGTAGTGATCTGCCTAGATATGAATGAAAGAACTGAACACTGTATATATGGATCAATGGCTGCAGCCAGGAAGGTTGGAATGTTTATGGGTATCAAAAGGTGTTTGTAAGATTATTTTTTTATTTAGCATTACATGTATTTGTAAGAACCCTGTTTAAATGGGTCATTGGCTTATTCCATGAATATAGCATTTAGTGCGCTTAACAAGCATTGTGTAAGAATATTTTGAATGAGCATTACTTATGCTTTTGGGGATCTTGTCTCAATAGATCCTCGGTTTGTGCTGTGAACATAGCATTAAGTGGCCATAGACAGGATTTTGGAAGAATGATATTTTGAATGAACATTGCTTGCATTTGTTGGAACCCTGTATAAACGGATTCTTGGCTTGTGCGATGAATATGACATTTAGTGCCCATGGAAAGGATTCTGCAATAATGAAATTTTTGAAAGAGCATTGCTTGCATTTGTTGGAACCCTGTATAAATGAATCCTTGGTTTGTGCAATGAATATGACATTTAGTGCCCATGGAAGGGAATCTGTGAAAAAGAACATTTTGAATGAACATTGCTTGCATATGTTGGAACTCTGTATAAATGGTTCCTTGGCTTGTGCGATGAATATGACATTTAGTGCCCATGGAAAGGATTGTGTAAAAATGAATTGTTTGCTTGCATTGTTGGAACCCTGTATAAACGAGAATATAAGAAAACATAAAACTATAGAATGACAACTTCTGATTTATTGTATTTAGCAATGCTTTGATGTAAATTCTTGTACTGTTTCGAAGCTGGAGTGACTACAACCAAGTGATGAGAGGTATATATGCATGACGTGTTGTGATAAGTGGCAGATTAACATTAACAACATCAGGTAACACCGTATTCGACGTAATAAGCGCCCCGCTGTTATAAGCGCCCACAGCGATATTTGCTAATACATTGGCTAGTGAACAATACAAATTAGCACCCTTTCGATTTATCAATGTACACAAGACTTATTTATTCGTGCATAATACACACTCAGGTGTTATATGCACCCTTAATTACGGGCAATTAAATTCTGGAAAAATATATCTGTCGTGTATAATACGTATTTAAGACTTTTTTGTGTGCATGATTTCAGGATGTCGGCATAAACCACGAAATTTATGATCTTTCAATTCTTTCACCAAAATTATATTCAAATAAGAGCCCCCTATTTCTAATTTTGAGTGCGCCCTGGGCGCTTATTACGTCGAATACGGTAGACAACAATTAGCATCCCGTTAATTGGATAAAACCAGATGTACTCCAGCTTGCCATCAGTGTAACAATTTTAATCTACATCCAGACATTGCTAAGTGAAAAAAACAAACAGAATTTGTCATGCATAAAGTTGTACGTTTTCTTAGGTACTTCCAACTTCTAGAATGCTAATCAAACAACCCGTATAAGTGGATCCTTGGCTTGTGCGGTGACTATCATTTATGCATGAAGAGGAGTTCTCTATTTCTTTTTTGAATTAGCATTGCTTGTATTTGCTGGGACATATAAGATTTGCTTTCATGAACGCTGTGCTGGTGATGAAGATACTATGCCGTGGCATGGCTGGATGGTACAATTGATTGTAGTGGATTGGTTGAAAAGATGGCTTTGGTTTGCGGTAATAGTCTGTATGTATGTATTATGTATGGATCTGTATAGTTTGTCTGGTACCTACAGAAATTTTAGTAGCTGCCATATGTACTTTGTGTGACTATTTTGTAAGATATTCTTTTGAAATATTGTTTTGAATGTTTTTTTGTGATATTTTGTCATCACAGGGTCGACTGTGTACCCACCATTCAGTGGAATTGCTCGAATGATTATTTGTCTGGTGTAGGCAGTACAGTGAAGCCTTGTTAATCCAAATCCTGTTAATCTGATCACCCTACCTTCTATTTCTACGTGGGGCGGTCGGGTAGCCTGGTGGTTAAATAGTTCGCTCGTCACGCCGAAGTCCCGGGTTCGATTCCCGACATGGGTACAATGTGTGAAGCCCATTTCTGGTATCCCCCGCCGTGATATTGCTGGAATATTGCTAAAAGCGGCGTAAAATCAAACTCACTCACTCACTCACTCTATTTCTACGTTGATTCATTAATCTGAAAATGTGTTCATCCAGACAATTTTATTGGGATTAATACTGTCCGGATTAATAAGAACTCACTGTTATCTGTATTAGACCATTTCAGACAAGAGGGTTTGTGTATGTTTGAGAAGTTGGGTTTTTAGTTTGGGCTGTGTGTTGGACATGTTTATTCTGTAGTCAAAGACATGTAAATGCATCAGTAGCGTATTAATTATTAATATCAATTACACATCAATTATTGACAAGACCTATAGTCCATGCAGTAAGAGGATCTAATCATCAGCTGGTGATGTGAGTTGTTTAGCCTGTCAACCTAATATTGTGACGGTCACGATTGGATCACAGAGCACCCTGTATTAGTACACAATGTAAAAGTCTTGGCGCTAACTTGCAGTTAGGATTGTTACATGAAAGAAGTCCTGAATCCCATTACCCAAAGTAGTCTAAGCGCTTCTATCGTAAATCAGTCTTAGAGCTACAACTATCGTAAGTCTGTTATAAGGTATGGGAGTTACGGCAGTCTTAGAGCTATAATTATCGTAAATCTGTTATAAGGTATAGGAGTTACGACAGTCTTGAAGCTACAACTATCACAAATCTGTCATAAGGTATAGGAGTTACGACAGTCTTAGAGCTACAACTATCGTAAATCTGTCATAAGGTATAGGAGTTACGACAGTCTTGAAGCTACAACTATCACAAATCTGTCATAAGGTATAGGAGTTACGACAGTCTTAGAGCTACAACTATCGTAAATCTGTCATAAGGTATGAGAGTTACGACGGCCTTAGAGCTACAACTATCTTAAATCTGTCATAAGGTATGGGAGTTACAACGGTCTTAGAGCTACAACTATCTTAAATCTGTTGTAAAGTATGGGAGTTATGACAATTATAGTGCTACTACTATCGTTATTCTGTTAGTATAAGAGTAACAACAGTCTTAGCGTTACAACTATTGTATATCTGTTGTAAAGTATGGGAGTTATGACAGTTGTTGCTCAAAGAGTCTTGGAACAGGGCCGAGAACAAATGTGTTGACAAATATCAGTATTGCAAAGTGTCTGGTTTTGACAGTGTCCACCGTTGATGTAACGAGATGTTTAATTTGAAATTGCAAGTGTTTGTCTACCATAATTCATTTTACTATTGGTAAAAAAAGCTAAAAAAGTCCTTGACTGCGTCTGTCTGATAGCATATGGTGACAGATTAGCAGAGTTTGTACATTATACTCTGGGTGGTTAATAGAACAGTAGCACAGTGGACTAAGGCATCAGAGAGTTACCTCCCAAAAGGTACCAGGATATGCTGATAATGGGTTTGAATCCAAGACTTCCCTATTGAGATCCTTGAACTGTTAGGAGAAATCCCACATTATGTTTTGAGGTGCGTGTGGGTTTTACCATAGTGGTAACGCCCAAGACCTGCATCACTTCAGGCTTTCCTCCCACATCAAGCTGACATGCTGTGATACGTAGAGCTGGTTAAAGTCAAAGTGGTATCAAACCCAACTCACTCACTCACTCACTCACTCTTACTCATCCGACATTGGAGCTGCCAGAAGAGAGGGTCAAAGACTTCCAGGCACAGTTCTTGCTTCAGGTACACAGAAACTAAACATCCATATGAAAATGGAACATTGATAAATTACTTGGTACTGAAGATATTTGAAGTGAGTGTGACCGAGTGAGTGAGTTGGGTTGTGTTTAACGCTGCTTCAAACATTAATTCAGTTATGTCAGCTTAATGTGGGAGGAAAGCCCGAAGTGATGCAGGTCTCAGACGTTTACCACTTCAATGAAACCTACGAGCACGGGTATGGTGCTGACAAACCAAGAAACATAATTGGGGCTGGATTCGAACCCACAATCTTAGATTTCTGGCGTGCCCAAGGGACGCAATTCTGCACAGCGAATCGCGGCGCCTTAGACGACTGGGCCACCTGTGCCCCCGAAGATATTTGTGAACTAATTGGGTTGTGAAAAAAGGTGTATTAGGTTGTGCATATTAATGTGGACCGATTTATTATGACTTTGAATATTTGCATAATTAATCAGTTTTATTCAAACATTGAATAATAATTACAAAAATTATGATTTCATGTTTGAAGAAACTGGCTCATTGGAACTTTTGGCTGTTATTATTAATAGATGTAGATGTATAGTTAGTGTAAATACTGTATCAGTTTATTGGGTTAATTCCGGTACATGTCATTTGTCACGATACGATGCTGTTTCTAAAGGCTGCCTCTATTTGTGGGAAACCATTGTTTTGTTTAATACTTCATGAACATGCTAAGTGAGGACCAGATGTTTGGGAGGGGATGTCATGTGGGTAGCCTTGCGGTTAAAGCGTAGGTTTATCAAGCCCTAAACCTAGGTTTGATTCCCCACATTGGTTCAATCTATCATGTTGCTATGTTGTTGACTGAATATTGCAAACATTGTGAAAACATACCTACTTATTGGCAGTTGTTTCAGATGGAAATATTCAACACAATGAACTTTTCAGGATACCCTAAACATAGGGCAGATTTCCTCAGACTAGTGCTTGATGTTTTTCCTGCAAACATAATGATATTGACATTGCCATTATTGATCAGTCAATATGAAAGTGTCCCCATGTTTAAATTAATTAATCTAATTAGGAAGATGCTCAGTGAGCTACATCTGTAATGTTTAAGTTAAGTTTTGGGGTTTGGGTTTGTTTGGGGCAGATACCATGCAATCTGTTGTTTCTTTATTTCTCCTATTTAAGCAGAGATGTATATTTTAATTTCATTAAGCTATGAATTTGAAGTGGCCAAAAGGGCAAGAATGTGCTACTGTTATATGGTAATGAAATGTTTCATGTGTATTTCTGATTATTACTGTCGAGGGAAATTATTTTTCTGTCCCTTTGTGTTCAGGAAAAACTCCAAGGTGAATCCTTTTGAAAATGAAACTAGATTGTACCTATAAGTTTTCTTGAAGATGGTCCAATATTCAGTTTCTAGTGTGGGAATAAGTGCACATGGGCATAACTCCACTGAAAATCTATCATTTTTGAAGTGCTAGGCTCTATAATCTTGAGCCTATTCCAACTCTAGTTAGAGATCTAAAGTGGTGCGACTCACTTTGCAGAGTTGTGTCCCTTTGCCATGCCAGGATCATGGGTTTTATTGTCAGATTTGTACAATTCTGGTTAAGATCCTTTGTCCTCATGGGTATCACCGAAGTGGTAAGCATCTATGAATTGTCACTTGAAAATATTGCTGAAATTGCAATGTAGACCCTTTCTCACTCATTCATGTCTAGACGTGCAGAGAAGCACTTGCGATATGTTTTCAAAATAATCCCCATGTTTGTTCATGTCTCCTGTATGATAAATGCTGTATCCTCACACAGAATGAATGTTGGAATGTCTCGGATGTTGATTACTGGGAAGCTGAAATGTTGGTGCCATTAGCATTGTTTATTTCTGCTCATTCTTGTTCAATGAGGTCTACTAAACCAACACCTACTAGTCAAATACAATATGGTTGTAAAATATACATACCCCAATGACATTATGTATCACGCTTTTGTACAATACAGATGTGATATTTGTCATATCCAGTATACATTTGTCATTCAGGCAGGCTTGTTTATCTGTTGGTATTATTAATTTAATTACAGCATCATTTACAAAGCATAGCAAACCATGTGCAAAATCTTTTAATCAAAATATTTATTCACATTTTAATATTCCTGTCATTTGTTTTCACACTGTTAGGCAGTCTAAGTTTATTCCTTGTTTCATGAAATTTTTCGGTTCCGCGGAGATGGAGGAGACAAAATTAACTCTTCTGGTGATAAAACTGAAACGCACCATAGAGTAACCTTGGT